AGCAAAGCCCCTGGGAAGAGCAGTGGAATGCCAAGCACCTCAGCAGCTCACACCAGCAGCCCAAAGCCACCCGAGTCCCTCAGCCCCTCCTGGGAAGGATGCTGCTGATCCAGCAAGCAAGAGGAGGGTCCCCTGGGACTTCCCCTGTGCTGTCCCCAGCCGTGGTGTGACCACCCCCCAAAGCCACCAAGGGCCAGTGCCGTGGGAGCTGCGTGTGGCTGGGCCCCAGCTGAGCCATCCTGCCAACGAGCATCCCACAGGCAGAGCAGGGCTGTGGATACCCCAGGCTCTGGAGGAACCACATCTCAGCACAGATATCAGCAGCGAGGGGTGCAGGGGACACAGGACAGGGACCTTTCGGAGCTCCCGGCTGGGAGAGATCAGCACTGGGCTGAGCCCCTCCCTTCCTGCTGGGGCTGATCCTGTGTCCAGGGGCAGGAGGGGATGCTGTGCCAGGTGCTGCTTCCCATTTGCCCTCCTAGTGCCCACAGTGTGTTGAGAAGAGCCAGTCCTGGGTTGGGAGATGCTCGGACAGGATGGGGAGGTTGATTTAAACCACCCGGTTGAAGATTCAGATACAGAAAATGCAGCAAAGATCAAGATGAACCAAGTCCCCAGTGCCCTGCCAGTGGGTGTAGGGGACAAGTCCAGGGCTATGTGTCTGACCTGGGCCAATTTGGGCATTGCCAGTTTATATAACACTCGGTGTCAACACTGGCTGGTGTTTCTTTGCTGCCACGGTCGCCTGGGAGCTGCGGAGGGAACAAACACCGTGTCCCCTGGGAGCATCCATCCCTCTCCTCCTGCCCTCCCACACTGGGGAATTCTTATTGCATCTTTTCTCTTCCCCAGGAAATGGCTACATCGAAGGCAAAGAGCTGGAAAACTTCTTCCAGGAGCTGGAAAGTGCGAGGAAAGGAGCGGGCGTGGTAAGGGCGTCTCCTGGTTTTGCTGCCTCTTTGCCCCCCATTCCCTCCTGCCCAAAGATGGGAATGGCACTGGTGAGTGGGACCAGGGCTCCTCTGGGAGGGAAGGGCGGGGGGAAATGCTCCCATCTCCTCTCTCCTCGCTGGCAGGACTCGAAGAAGGACAACTTGGCTGACAAGATGAAGGAGTTCATGCACAAGTACGACAAAAACGCTGACGGCAAAATCGAGATGGCAGAGGTGAGTGGTGCTGGACCTGACCTTCCTCTGGGGTGCTCCTGTTCCCCCCCAGTGTTCAGGTGTCCCCCTGATGTTTGTGTTCCTTCCCTGATGCTTGTGTTCCCCACAGCTGGCCCAGATCCTGCCCACGGAGGAGAATTTCCTGCTGTGTTTCCGCCAGCACGTGGGCTCCAGCTCGGAGTTCATGGAGGTGAGTGGGACAGGCTGGGCTGGGGCTCCCCGTGGGATTCCATCCTCAGGGCCCAGCTCCACCCTGGAAAAACAACTGGGAGCTAGAATTGCCCAAACCTTCCCAAGTCTCCCCCAACCTGCTGGCGTTCACTCAGGACTGGGAGGCAGTGCCAGTCTGGGGGGAGAGTGGGGTGGGGTGAGTTTTCCCAGTCCTCAGCACACCTGGGGCACCTCTCAGGACAGCCAGTGCCTCATCCCACCCTCTGGGCAAGGATTTGGGGCTGTTCTGTAAATTCCCCCTCACGGTTGGTCCACAGTACCCAAGGAATGTGCCTGAGTGTGTTATGGGAGCCAACACTGCTCTGGGCCACCCCACAGCCTCCCCAGGCCCTTGCATGGGGTGAATCCGTGCAGGTGGGAGGGAAACTGTGAGTGGGGAACAGAACACGGCTGGCGGTGGAGGGGAATGTGCAGCATCCTGGGGAGGGGGGAGCCTGTGCTTGGAAAATGAACCCCAGGCAAAGGAGATGGCTGAAATAAGAGCACCCTGTGGCACAAGGGGAGGGGAGGGGGGGCTAAGCTGGCACTGTTGTTTAATTGGGGGGTGCAGTTAAATGGCATTAAATATTAAAGCCTGGCCTTGCACACTGCCAGTGCTTGAACTCTGGGCACGGGGCCGAACAAAAGCACCCGACCCCGAGGGACAGCACGTGGCACCCGTGAGGAGGGAGCTGTGAGATCACCCCTCTCCATTGAGGAGGGGGGGGGGGGAATACACTCCCAGAGGGGGTTTTTGGGGGCACACACGTGTCGGGGAGGGGTGAGGGACACGAGCCCACCCTCAGGGTGCTGTGGTCCCTCGGCAGGCCTGGCGCAGGTATGACACCGACCGCAGCGGGTACATCGAGGCCAACGAGCTCAAGGTGGGCTGCGGGCACGGGGGGGTGGGCTGAGCTGGGTGCTCCCCAGGGGGATGTTCCCGCTGGGAGAGCTGGGGATGGGGACAGCCAGCACAGCCCTCTCCTGGCAGGGGTTCCTGTCGGACCTGCTGAAGAAGGCGAACCGGCCCTACGACGAGCCCAAGCTGCAGGAGTACACGCAGACCATCGTGAGTGGGGCCTGGGGGACCCTTCCCACCGCCAGGGCCTCGCCACCCCGTGGTGAGAGGGACAGTGGGGGTGACAGGGGGTGACCAAGTGCCTCTCCTGTCCCGACAGCTGCGGATGTTCGACATGAACGGCGATGGAAAGCTGGGCCTGTCCGAGATGTCCCGGTAAGGTCAGAGGCAGCGAGAGGGAAGCAGCAGGGAGGGAAAGACACACCTGAAATGCCTGTGTCTGAGGAGAGTCTGCTCCAGCTTCCAAGGAAAACTGCTTTCCTCTTTAATTTGCTCGTGTTTGTGAGCAAAGAGCCCCTGTGGTTTAGTAAGTGTGTTTTCCTGGCTGCTTCCCGCTCCTCCCCGCCCTTCTTGTTTTTCAGACTTTTGCCCGTGCAGGAAAACTTCCTTCTGAAGTTTCAGGTAAAATAAGGATGATGATAATGTTAATAATCACCCATTGCCACTGCTTGCACCTCCATCCCCCTCCCTCACACCCCCTGCTGTCCCTTGCCACTTCCCAGGGGATGAAGTTGTCCTCGGAGGAGTTCAATGCCATCTTCGCCTTCTACGACAAGGTAGGGACGCAGCTCCCAGGAGAGGGCCCCAAATAAGTAGAACTTGGAATAAAAAATATCCCCAAATGGCGTGATTTCGGATGGGTCAGTTCCCTGCTCTGGTTTGGGGTGTTGGGTTCAGCCCTGGGTGAGAGGCTGCACCTGTGCCCGAGGGGGGGGGGAACTGTGGGGTTTGTGTCATTCCTGCTGCTGATGTCCCTCCCTCCCTCGTTATCCAGGATGGAAACGGCTTCATTGACGAGAACGAGCTGGATGCGCTTTTGAAAGACCTCTATGAGAAGAATAAGAAAGTAAGCAGGGGGGGGACAGAGCCTGGCTGCCACCCCCCCTCCAGAGCCCCCCAGTTCCTCCTCCCCTCTCCCAGCAGCATCTTCCACCCCGCTGTGTCCGTGGGGAAGGGGGGAGATGCTGCTCGGGGTGCTGACCCCACATCCTCACGGGAAGCTGCACTGGAGCTGGGAGGGGGGGGGTGGGGTGTGATCCCAACCCAGGGGTGATCCCCAGCCCCACCGCTGCCCCCCTGCCTCGCAGGAGATGAACATCCAGCAGCTCACCAACTACAGGAAGAGCATCATGAACCTGTCGGACGGGGGCAAACTCTACCGCAAGGAACTGGAGCTGGTGCTCTGCAACGAGCCCCCCGTGTAGGATCCCACCCACCCCCCACCCCCCCCCTAAAACACACGCCCTGCGCTCCTCCTCCCCCAAAGCAAGCACAACAGGGGAGCCCCCATCACTGCAGTGCTTCCCCACCAGCTCTTGGGTTTGCTGTAGGTCGCTAAAATCCCATTTTGGGGGGGAAAACTCCTTTTTTTTTTTTTTTTTTTTAATTTTACCCATCTGCCTGGTTTGTTTAGTTATATGATTTTTTGTTTGTTCGTTTGTTTTTTGGGGAGGGGGAGGGTGTTGGTTTTGTTCCTTTGGTCTCTTCTTGCGTTTTTATCATTTACCAAAGAACAGTTTACTAATAAATTCAAGTACTGCTAGACTGGAGCCCCTGTTTCTCCGTCCCACGGTGGGCTGGGGGGGTGGCAGGGGCAGGGGGGACCCCCACACACACCCTGGCCCCACTGGGGATGTGGCTTCTGGGTGGGGGAGGGAGATGGAACTTTTGGGAAAGGCCCTGTGGAGTGGAAGGGCACTGGGAAATCCCTGGGGAGCAGAGAGCAGGCAGGCTGGGGGCACTCATGTCCTGGGACAGAACATCCCAGAACCTCCCAGTGCCTCCAAACACCTCCCAGTTCCCCCTCCCAGACCCTGCCAAACCCTTTGGACCATCCCAAGGGTTGTTCTCCCCCCTCCCAGTTTTGGAAACTCGTCCCAGGGTGACGACACTGGTGGGGTCTCAGTGCCACCTTTCCCCTCAGTGCCACCTTTGCCCCTCCTTCCCAGTGCCCTGGCACCAGGGTGGGTGCCGGGAATGTGCACGAGGTGCTGGTCTCAACACTGAGCCCCCCAGGGCTGGGGGTGGGGGAATTGGGGGGAACTTGGAGGGGCAGCCCCTGTGTTGTCCAGTACAGCCCAGTACAGCCCAGTACAGCCCAGTATGGCCCAGTGCAGCCCCGTGGTGCCAAGTTCATCCCCACACAGCCCAGTATGGTCCAATACAATCCTGACCAACCCTGTACAGCTCCGTACGGCCGAGCCCAGCCCCATAGAGTTCATTATGGTGTATCACAGCACAGCCCAGTGCGACCCAACACCGCCCTGTACACACCTGTACGGCTCCACATGGTGCCGAACTGTTCTATACAGCTCACGTACAGTGCTGCCCTGTGTGTCCCAGTACAGCCCAGTACAGCCCAGTGAATCCCTCCCATCGCAGCCCCGGGCGGGGAGGGCGGTGCGATCGCAATGACCCTTCTCGGCCGCCAGGGGGCAGCGTCGGGAGGTGGGAGGGGGGGGCGGGCGATGGGCGGCGCATGCGCGGGGCGGGGCGGGGCGCTGGGCCGGCGCTCGCAGTGTGAGGTGTGAGGGGTGAGCCGCTGCCGCCATGGCGCTCCTGCACAGCCGCCGGCTCCTCGCCGCCCCGCGCCTCGCCGCCGCCGCCGCCTCCCGCGCCAGGTGAGGCCCGAGGGGCGGCTCGGCCCCCGGGGCCGTCGGCGGAGGGGGTTCCCCCGCTGCGAGGCCGCGGGGAGCGGGTCCCCCCCAGCGCGGCCCGCGGGTGACGCCGCGCTGGACGAAGGGGGTTACCGGGGGGACGGACCGCGCGCGGATTGGCTGGGGAGGAGGGGGCTCTCGCCCTCCGATTGGCTGGGGAGGGGGGCTCCGGCGCTCCGATTGGCTGGGGAGGGGGGCTCCGGCGCTCTGATTGGCTGCGGCGCGACCCGGCGACCCCCGCCTGCCCTTGAGGCGCCGCCGTGGAGGCCGCGTGGGCACCGGGGAGCCCCGGAGGGAAACGGGGGGGGCTGCGCCCCAAATAACGGGGCGGGGGGCGCTCTGTGCTCCGAGCAGCGGCGCTGAGGTGTTGCTGGTGTGGTGGGTGAGAGGCCGGACACGCGCCGGCCGTGTGCGCTCGCAGCCGGGAAACCGGCTGTGCGTGTGTGTCCTGGGCCGGCCCAAAGGCAGCGTGGGCAGCAGGGGAAGGGAGCGGTTCTGCCCCTCTGCTCTGCTGAGCCCCCCCTGCAGCGCTGTGGGCAGCCCTTGGACATGGACCTGTCAGAGCCACTCCAGGGGAGGCCACAAACATGATCAGGGGGCTGGAGCACCTTTCCTAGGAGGGAAGTTGGGGTTGTGCAGCCTGGAGAAGGGAAGGCTCTGGGCTGACCTAATTTTGGCTTTCCAAAAGCCTAAAGGGGCTCTAAGAGAGCTGGAGAGGGAATTTTGACAAGGGCATGGGTGACAGGACGAGGGTGAGTGGCTTTAAATGGACAGAGTGCGGGGCTAGGTTGGACATTAGGAAGAAATTCTTCGCTATGGGTTGCCCAGAGAAATTCTGGCTGCCCCATCCCTGAAAGTGTCCAAGGCCAGGTTGGATGAGATTATCTTTGAGGTCCTTTGTGACCCAAACCGTTCAGGATCCTGTGTGTTGAGCAGTGGGGATGTGGTGCAGCAGTGACCCCGTGGAATGTGAGTGGTGCTGGCTGCGCTAGAGCTGTGCCCTCAGGGTACAAACCCTGGTGGGAGGGTGTTTGTGTGTGGCCAGTCCTGCGCTGGCAGCTCTGGACTGCTCTGTTGTGCTCAGCAGAGCTGGGTAGAAGGATAAAGGGTGGAACCAGAGCTGTGCAGAGAGCCCAGAACAGCCCCACGAAGCACGGCTGACCTGAGAGCACAGGGCTGGGATCACCACTTAAAAAAGTTTCCAGCCCTTGTCACAGCAGGAAAGCAGTGGGGTTGTTTTTTAAATCCCCATTCCAGCAGATAAAGAGGGCTGTTAAATATTGATTAATGCTTGTGAGATGAATGCTCCCTGTCCCTGCCCTTCTGAGGCAGCTTCTGGCTCTTCACAGAAGGGATGGAAGAGCAGCTATCCAGAGCTTGCGTTTTGTGCCCATGGGCTGGCTGTGAAGGCCTGTGGAAGGTATGGAGCCCCCTGGCATCAGCTTTGCTTGTCCCAAGCAAACTGTAAATTACCGAGTTGAATTGAGGTCACCCAAGAAACACAGCCCATCCCTCTTGGAATTAAAGAGCCTTGTGCACAGCCCCCGGTATTCCTGCTCAGGAATAGTGCCTCGTTATGCAACAAGGAATGCCAAGCAGTGATTAGCAGTTTGTGTTTCCTTATCTTCAGCGACAGAACTGGTGGTGCTCAAGCTGTTCCCCTTGCTGAGTGTGCTCCTTCTGAAATCAGGACAGAGATGAAGAGATAGGAAATGGTTAAAAGGGCTCACTTTGGGCACACAAATGCTAATTACGGTGATAACTCAGTCTGCTGCTCTGATGTATCACAAGACAGCTATTTAAACGATTTTCTGAGGGGGAAGCTTCCAGCTGCTCCCTGCGGTGAGGGATGTTTAGGCTTGGAAGGCCTTGTAGTAGCCAGCAGCCTGTTGGCATTGTTGGTGTGTAAATATTTGCTTTAGCTGCAGTCTCCTGACAGCCTTTGGCCCCTCTGCTCTGCCCTGGCTTGCAGAGAACCTTTGGCAGAGGTTCTGAGATCCAGGATCTGATGTATCTGTTCCTCAGGGAACGTGGGCTGGCCATTCGCTCCACAGTGGAAACCTCCACTGGGCCTGTAAACACTCGCTCTCCGGGCTTGGCTCGAGTCCTTAAGCTCCTCCAGGGTCTGTGCCATGAGTTCCATGAAGGTTTTTGAAAGGCACTGCTGTTTTGTGCACTCCTGGATGCATTTCCCCCACCTCTCTGTCCCACTGCACCTGCAGCTGTGCATTGAACTGGTTCAGAAGACCAGCCTGGCTGAAGAGAACAAGAGACTACTTGGATACCAGCTTTGATGAGCATCCAACCTGGGACTGCCTTCTGTCTTGAAGTCCTGTAGCTGGAGAAGGATTTGCTTTGGCTTCCACTGATTATTCCCTCGGGTAGCTAAAAACTTACCTCTGGTTGGTTTTCTTCCCTCAGATACCTCTGGCCTGGCAGAGATGAGCAGTTTATAGCTTTGGCCTTTATTCAAGACCAGTATTCTTCTAATTGCTCCAAGTGAAATATGGGGCAGTGCAGGGACAACAGCAGTGATGTGGGGTTTGAGTGTGCAGGGGTTTGTGGCTTTGGATCCCTGGTAAACTTTTTGTCCCAAACTGTTTTGGGAAAGATTTACCTCTGTGATCTCTTTGGGACAACTCAGCCTGGACTTTTTTCTCCTGTCTCCCGGCAAGCTCACCCCACCCTGGAAACAGCTTTGGCCTTCATCTGGAAACCTTCAGGCTGAGAACAAGAAAATCAGCCCTAAACCTACCCTTTGGGTGCCTTAAGCCGACAGGAAAACCGGCTCAGAACTAAAGCACTTAACTCTCTGGAGTGCTGCAGCTTAGGTAAATGCCCCCAGGATCAGCATTACTTGCAGCATGTTTGAGCCCAGTGACCTGCTTAAGACTTCACAGGATCTGGACCTAAATACCCCAAACACTGTAAGCTGCTTGGGGAGAAGCCCAGCAGGGGGAAAGAAGGTGCCATCACCACCTCCAAAGCAGCAGCTCTTTAAAACACATGGCCAAGGCTCCTGCAGCCCTCCCCACCAAAAGAATCCTGAACCAGGTAAACTGCAGAGGGACAAACTCTTGCACAGCGTTTCCATCTTCCCTTGCCCCTCCATTTGCCAGGAGGGCACTGGGAGAGGTTTTTCCAGAGCAGCATTCCTTGCTGCCTGAACCTGCAGCAGGATTTTGCCCTGACTGCCCCTTTGACGTGCTCTGCTCAGGTTGATTCCCCAGGTCACTCCCTCCCCACTGGCTGCAGCCCCTGTCCCTCTCTGGAGGGTGTGTGTTGTTGGCACGATTGACTCATCCCCCTTTCCAAGCTGATCCTATACTTAAGAGGTAATTAAGATCGGTTAGAGGTCTAAAAAACATTAAGGACATCTTCCATTTTTAAACTACCTGAGGTGGCTCTGCCTCCTACATGTTTACTGCCCTTTTTTTCCACAGACCCTACACAGAGAAGAAACAGAGGTTTTTTATGTGGAAATACTGTGCTGATGGGAAGAGCAGTTTATCTGAAGAGGGAAAAAGGTGTTTGGGGCTCCATGAGATTCAATCTACAGACACGGGACAGTGCAAAGTATGATTATGTAGTGAGTAGACTGGGTCTCAGCGGACCTAAAACAGGGGCAGAGTGGAAAGATGATTTTGTGAGTACTTCTGATCATGTTAGAGCTTCCTCAACCTGCCCACCGATCTGTATCTGCTCACAGAGTCTTCACCGAGCACTCAGCAGGAGGTCTGGCTGTCCCTGAGCTGGCTCCAGGCTGCCTGGGATAGAATCCAGCCCCAGGACAGCATTCCCCAAGTTAGGAAAGGTTGTTATCTTCAGGTGAGGTGGCCTTTTGCGGGCTGCAGAGTGTGATAAAGCTAAGGTGTCCCTGGCTTAACGTTTCTCCTTCAGCAATCCTGCCCCGGAGGAGATAAACCCAATCTACCCTTTGTTCCACTGAGCTCTGGGACCTGGGTAGGCACTGGTGTGGTGCCACCAGTCTGGATGCTCAGAGCTGGGTGGAGTTGCCTTCAGGAGGTGGCTGTGACAGCCACAGCCTGTGCCAGGCAGGTTTACAAACCACCACACCGCTGCTCCTGCACTGTCTGCAGAGCCTGGCCCTGGCACTGGGCAGGGGCTGTGGCCAAAGGAAATAACAGGTTTCTTTTTATAGCCTGCCCTTGACATTAAGAGAGCTTCTCCATCTTCAGGGTGTGCTGCCAGCAGGGCAGGGGCAGGTGGTTTGTTGTGCTGGGGGAGAGGGGCACAAAGCTCTTCCTGACACAGGGGGGTTTGTGCTCGACAGCAGGAGAAGGGACTTGTCACCCCGGGAAGAAAATGTGCTCTGCCATTTCCAGGAAAGCAGCATTTGGCTACAAAAACTGAGGCAGAGTTTGTAGGGCAGGAAATAGAAGTATCTCTATGAGGTCAGCCAATGTTGTGGGAAATGTAGATTAATTTTCACACGTTTGAGCCCCTCCGGGAGTTTGGAAGAGGCTCCATACTCAAGTTTTGTGCAATTGCCTGGCTCTGGCCAAGGTTCCCTGGGAGGTACTAACCTATGCAATCCCACCTGTGGGCTCTGGGCGCTTGTCCAGAGCATGAGAGTTCAAGGTTTCTGTTTCCTGGACTCTTTGTGGTGTCAGCAGGGAAAGCAAACAGGGCCATTTCGACACGCCAATGGCTGGGAGGGAGTCAGGTGTCTTCAGCCACAGTGAGCTGAGGCTCCCTGTCCATTCTGCAACGTAAAATGAAGCATGAAGGGGTTGGTTTGGTTTTTTTCCCCCTGGATAATTCTGTTAACACTACTTGTACCTTTCTCAGTGGTTTGAAGCCGAGATTCCCCCGAGGGTTGTTGGTGTCCAGCTCTGCCCGGCTCTCCAGGCTGATTCTCAGCTGCTGCTTTTTCCCTTTCAGCTCATGGTGGTCCCACGTGGAGATGGGTCCCCCCGACCCCATCCTGGGGGTGACAGAAGCTTTCAAGCGCGACACCAACTCCAAGAAGATGAACCTGGGGGTGGGGGCGTACCGGGATGACAACGGGAAGCCCTACGTGCTGAACTGCGTCCGCAAGGTGAGCCGGCTGCCAGGGAGGGGGAAGACCCCTGAACAAGGCTTGTCTGTTGGTCCTTGAAATAAACATTGCCACTAACAGAGCGGGAAGTGTTCCTGGATGTCTCCTGTAGCAGGAGTAATTAGGTAGTAGGGGACAAAACGGGAAATGCATGTCCTGTTCCCATTCGTGTAACTCTTCAGTAATTGCTGACTTGCACAACCCCTCCAGTGCACCTGTCCTTTCAACTTCAAGGAACATCTGATGTTCCCTGGGCCACCCAAGATGGGAGGAAAGAGCTGACATTGTCCCCTGAATGGATTAGTCTTTGAGCTGATGTTGCCAGTTTCTCCATAAGCCAGTCTAAAACTCCAGCCCGGGGAGCTGGGTGTGGACATTGCCCTGAGGGGATTATGGGGTCTTTCAGGGCTGTCAGGGTAGAAATAGGCTGTTAAATATTTGGCAGCTGACACACACACACACTGATTGGCTGATCTCCTTGGTGGGGGGGGGGGTGTTGTCCATGTGTCTCACCAGTGGGGGGTTTAAAATCATCCTTCGCCCTCCCTGTCCCCGTGTACTGGTCACAAGCAGGAAGCCTTGATGGTGTTGCAGGGACAGTTTCCTGGCAGTGTGTGAGTGCTGCCAGGCTGTGTCCCACTCTCAGCACACTGAGGCCCTGCAAAAGCCTTGCTATCCTACCTGGTTTGGGAATGTCACCCATGCAGAGATGGTACCTGTGTTTCGGTGACACTCAAGACTCACCTTCCTGCACGATGCTTCCTGCTTGGGCAGAGAAATGCGTGTCCTTGGGCAGCACCACTGACTTTTAGTGGGCTGGAAGTGGTGCTGAGTGTCCTGGCTCTGCTGAACTGGCACTGGCACCTACTGAGGGCTCTGGTGGCCACTGGGCACCACATCCCTTGGTAAAAACAGGTTTTCATCTGAGATGTTCGCTGCTGCCCCTTGCTTGGCTTGAGCCCTGAACAGAAACTCCTGGAAACCAACTTCTACCCCTTTTGAGCAGGCAGAAAGTGCAGAGAAGCGCCCTCAAGCTGCCCACTGTCCCCTCCATGGGGCTGAACGTGTGTCCTCTTTTGCAGGCGGAGGCCATGATAGCATCCAAGAAGATGGACAAGGAGTACTTGCCCATTGGGGGACTGGCAGATTTCACCCGGGCATCTGCAGAGCTGGCCCTGGGGGAGAACAGCGAGGTTATCAAGAGCGGCCGGGTAAGGAGGGGCTGGGACACAGAAAGGAGGGGGGGTGAGAGTGCTGATGGCTCTGAGATAGCCCTGTCCAAGGAGGGGATTTAACCTTGCCAGGGTGCCCAGCTCCCTGCCCTGCCACTGGAGCTGCTGCTGAGCCTTGCAGGCCCTCCATCCCTTGTCCCTGTTTGGGTCACTCTGTCAGTGCTGGTGTAGGGACTGGACTTCCCCTGGATGGTAAGGTGGCTGCTCACACTCTGCTGTCTCCTTTTCCCTTGCAGTACGTCACTGTGCAGGGCATTTCGGGCACTGGATCTCTGCGGATTGGAGCCAACTTTTTGGTGAGTCCTTGGCTAGTGGGGAAGGGAGAGGACATACTTTGACCAGAGCTGAACCTTTAGGGTTTTCTAACAGTGCTTGAATCTATTCAACCTGTTTGAACACTCTTGTCTTTTTCTCTTGACCAGCAACGGTTCTTCAAGCCCAGCCGTGACGTGTATCTCCCCAAGCCGTCCTGGGGCAATCACACCCCCATTTTCCGGGATGCTGGCATGCAACTTCAGGCTTACCGTTACTACGACCCCAAGACGTGCAGCCTTGACTTCTCTGGAGCCATGGATGACATTTCTGTGAGTTGCCTGCCATGCCTGGAAGCAAGGGAGGTGATCTGGGATGATGGATGATGATGTTACTTTACCCTAGATATGATCCCACACGAAGCTGTGTCAGGGAAGGTTTAGGCTGGGTATTGGGAAGAGGTTCTTCACCCAGAGGGTGGTTGGGGCACTGGAACAGGCTCTCCAGGGAAGTAGTCATGGCACCAAGCCTGCCAGAGTTCCAGGAGCGTTTGGACAACTTGTGCAGATGGTGTGATTCTCGGGGTGGTTCTGTGCAGGGCCAGGAGTTGGGCTCAGTGATCCTTGTGGTGGGTCCTTTCCCACTCAGGATATTGTATCGTTCTGTGATGCTTGAAGGCTCTAAATCAAGTCTGGAACCCTTGCAGAGCTCATCTAAGCTGTCTAGGGCACGACTCTCAGCTGCTGCAGGGAGTGCTCAGATCCCATTAATAATTCATTCTCTGTTACATCTTCCACAGAAAATTCCAGAGAAGAGCATCATCCTCCTGCATGCCTGCGCTCACAACCCCACCGGGGTGGATCCCCGGCAGGAGCAGTGGAAGGAGTTGGCAGCTACGGTGAAGGTGAGCGGTGTCCCAGGGTGCTGTGCCATTCCTGGGAAAACCACACCTCTGGCCTTTCGTGGGTGGCACCTGGGCCTCACTTGGCTGAAGGTTATTCCTTTCCCTGAAGCCAGGATGGGTGTCATGTTCCTGACAGGAGCCAGACAAATGCACCCATCAGGCTGACCATCAGACTTTCTGCTGGCTCCTTCCCAGGAAGCTGGGACAGGGATACCTGAAAGGAGAGCAGGGTTGAAAGAGCGATCTGTGATCGCTGGAGCGGAGCTCGCAGTGCTGGTGTATTCAAAATGTTGGAAGATCTTCCGTGTGCCTGGTGTCTCCTCACAGGCTTCAGCTGGAAACAGAGAGGGACAGGTTCTACCTTCTCCTCCTCCTCCCTGCTGCTCCCTCAGGCTGGAACCAGTGAAATTTGGCTTGGGATGCCTTAGTAGTGTCCTGAGAGCTGGAAGATATCAAAGTGGCCTCTGTGGCCCCCAGAAAGCTCTGGGTCTCCTGACTGAAGGGCAGTGTGGCTGGGTTATCTGCCTGGAGGCACTGGAAGGGCCTGGAGAGTTCCCAGGTGGTTTTCCTGGAAACTGATAACACGGAAGACACCAAAATGGAACATTTTATTACTGTTGAAGCCACTTGTGCCTCCTGTGCCAGACTGCACATCCCATAAATGCACTGGAGGGTTTTGAGCTGCTGTTTTGACGTGTGCTGGGCAGCTGCAGGTTTTGGGCTGCTTCCCCTGTGGCAAAGGAAGGGGAGCGGCTCTCCTTCTGGAGGGGTGCTCAGCTCCCCTGACACTCTCTCCCCTCTCCACTGGCAGAAACGAAACCTCCTGGTGTACTTCGACATGGCCTACCAGGGCTTTGCCAGCGGGGACATCAACCGGGACGCCTGGGCCGTGCGGCACTTCATCGACCAGGGCATCAACATCGTCCTGTCGCAGTCCTTCGCCAAGAACATGGGGCTCTACGGTGAGCAGGGCAGGGGGCCTGGGCGTGCTTTCACCCAGCCCCTGGGGTTTAGTGGCCAGTGTCTCCCTGCTGCCTGTGGTCATCCTGCTGTACTGGGCGGGGATGACCCGCTGGGAGCTGGTGGAGACCCTTCTAGAGGACAGGGATCCACTAAAGCTGGGTGGCATTGGGTGTCACAGGGTAAGAAGGATAGAGAGCTTTTAGAGAGCATCCAGAGGGCAAAGGGTCTAGAGGGGAAGCCATGCAAGGAGCAGCTGAGGGCACTTGGCTTGTTTAGCCTGGAGGAGACTGAGGGCAGAGCTCATCCCAGGCTGCAGCTTCTCACAAGGGGCAGCACTGATCTGTGCTCTCTGTGACCTGTGGCAGGACCCGAGGGAACGGCTGGAGCTGTGCCAGGAGAGGTTTAGATTGGATATTAGGAAAAAAGGTCTTTACCCAGGGTCTGATTGTTGGTGTTCTGTGCAGGGGCAGAAGTTGTGGTGGGTCCCTTCCGACTCGGAGTATTCTCTGATTGTCTTTCAGGAGAGCGTGCGGGCGCCTTCACAGTGATCTGCAAAGATGCAGAGGAAGCCAAGAGGGTCGAGTCGCAGCTGAAGATCCTCATCCGTCCCATGTACTCCAACCCACCCGTGAACGGAGCCCGCATTGCCTCCATGATCCTGAACACCCCTGACCTACGGAAGGAGTGGTAAGAAGGGACCTCTAATGCTCATGACAGTGAGGTGTGAGTGTCCTTGTGGCAGCCCTGTGCTGTCCTTGCTGTCTGCTGGTGTCACAGGCAGCTCTTTAGCCTCGGGAACAGTCAGAACCATGTCCCACCCTTTTCCTCTGGAGAGATCCCTGCTCATGGCCTGGCATCAGCAGGTATTGGTCTAGCTTGATACAAGCAAGTTTTCCTTGTGTTACCGAGGCAGAAAACACTGTGAAGGAGGGATAAAGCTCCCCTGGGATTAAGGGCTGCAGGAGCTGCCTGTCCAAGCAACACAAAAGTCTGACTGAAACGTTGTAGCCACGTAGTATCTCTCACATGGGGGAAGTGGAAGCATAAGCCCCCTGGGAATGAGACCCAGGAATGTAACCCTGGTGCCCTAAGCCTGTTCCCTGGCATCAGCCTGTGCTGTTCTCCCAGGTCCTCAGTGCTGGGTCCCTCCCAGCAGCTGGCCTGGCAGAACAAAGGCTGGCAGTGTGCTGTGGCCTGGCTGGGGGCTGTGTTCTTTTGGCAGCCTGATGCTTGTGCCTGATCCAGGGCCCAGCAGAGATGTCTCCTAGCCGTGCTGCCTTGGAGCAGGGCCTGTCTGCCTGCCCCTGCACTCTTGGGTTATCTTTTCCTGGGTTTGGGCAGGGCTGCCATCAGGATCCTACTGAGCTGTGGCCTTTCAGGCATGAGAAATGCCTACACTGGTAGTAGTGTCTTACACTCTGAAACAAATACGTAGCAGTCAGCTTCAGGCATCAGGAGACAGAAGCAGCTCCCCAGCTGGAGATACATCTTCATGCCCCCTGGTCTTTGCTCATCTGCATCCCCATATGAGACCCCTCAGGTGGAGAGGTTGATTGCCAGTAGCTGGGGGGGGAAGAGCAGTGTTGATGCGTTCCAGCCCTGCTCTGAGCCGCTCCTTGGTTGGTTCTTCAGGCTGGTGGAAGTGAAGGGCATGGCTGACCGGATCATCAGCATGAGGAACCAGCTGGTGTCCAACCTCAAGAAGGAGGGATCCTCCCACAACTGGCAGCACATCACTGACCAGATCGGCATGTTCTGCTTCACAGGGCTGAAGCCTGAGCAGGTAAACACAATTCCTGTGGTCTCAAAGTGTCCTTTGAGTCCTTACCAGTAAGTTTTGGACTGCAGGTGCCAAGATGGGTAAATCTGCACTCTGCTGACAGAGCAGAGGTTGGCCTGTGGTTAACTCTGCTCTTTCACCCCAGGTGGAGCGGTTGATGAAGGAGTTCTCCATCTACATGACAAAGGATGGACGCATCTCTGTGGCAGGAGTTTCATCAGGCAACGTAGCTTACCTGGCTCATGCCATCCATCAAGTCACAAAGTAAAGACAAAGGTGTGCCCTGGAGCTGGTGGCTTTCCCTTCCCCACCAGTCAAAGATGGGGAGGGAAAAGAAACAAGCAGAATACTTCCAACCACAGCACTTGAAGCCGCCGCTGAATGTATCTTGTAGATGAGTTGTTGTAGAAGCCTAGTCAAATCCTCCCTGCCTTGTGGAGCAGGGACATCATTGCTGGCTCCTGCTCGTCACAGCTGCTCTTCCCTGCTGTCCATCCTTTCTCCATCAGCCCCAGCACCCTTCTGCGCCGGAGGAAGCAAATGCTCAGCCCTGCCATCCTCCCGGCGTAGGCACCAAAGGCTTCCCCGCGCTCGTTTTTCCATGAGGAGGCTTTGGGAGGCTGTTGGCTGCTTGCCCAAGTGGCAACGGGCAGGGAGCCGGCTGGGCTGAGTGGGAGGGCTGCTCCGACCTCCTCAGCCTGTCCCTGCCGCCAGCAGGCTCCATCCTCCTCCATCCTCCCAGCCTGAGGCTGGGCAGCACCAAAGCTGTCCTCTGACAACCAGCTCTGAGGACTTCTGACTACCAAACTCTGCTCCATCGTTGGCTTCGCTCTTTCCATCTGGGACTCTCGTTTCGGGTGTAATTCACAGTGGCATCGGTGCGTGGGGCAGTGCCCTCCTCTAAACCTGCCTGGTTCTCCTGACTTCACTCTCGTACCCTGAGGGAAAACCATTTCTCATTTCCCCCCCCAGTAAGAACCGCCTCTGAAAATGCTCTCTGGTGCTCTCTGCCTCACCCCATTCCTGCCCTAAGCCCAGCAGTCCAGCCCTGTTCCTCCAGTAGCCCTCCCTTCAGTCTGTGTGTGTGTCTCAAAGCCAAGAGGTTGGTCCTGCTGTGTCCCCCCCTCACGTGGGGGTGCCCCTCTCATCTGCTCTGTTCAGCTGCATTTCTGGTGACACCAGAAAACAGGAAAGCTCCTGAGGGAAGTCCGAGAGCAGAACTGAGTGTCCCTGAGGTCCTGTGACTCACTGGACTCTGATTTTTAATCCAAATAAACTGGTGCATGGCTGTGTTGAGCTGGGGACTTCACCCTGTCATTGTGCAGCTGGATCCTGTCCCTTCCCTGCACCAAACAATCCCTTTTAGGGACATGCCAGCACTCGGGGTCTTGTATGGCCAGTGAAACCCTGATCTGAGAATCCCACATGGAGAGAGGGCAGTTCCCACCGCTGTGCCACAACAAACACCACGGGGTGTGCGAGCTGAGGTCCCAGGTGGGAGTTGATATCATGGAGCTGAAATTGAAGCCTGCAGGGTTGAATGTTGGTCTTGCTGGGGAGAGGACAAGTTCCCAAAGACTTCCTGCCTTGGGACATGGGGCTAACCCCTGCCACCAGAGTAGGGTTTTCCTTGTGGCAGCCCAAGGTGCCTCCCAAGGCAGACCTGGGGGCATTACCTCTGAGTCTACGTGAGCTTTCTCCATCCCCTGGCACCTCTCCCCTCTGCAGCCGTCCCGGGGTATTTAGCAGAGCAGTCCTCATTTCTCATTCCTGCCCCGGGCAGCCGTGTGCCCCCTGGGAGCTGGCAAGGACCGGTCTATGCACCTCTCCCGGTGTTGCACTGCTGGCGAGGCTGGAGCCTCCCGCCGCTCCCTGTCAGAGGGTTTGCCCTTCCACGCCGCTTGTTTACTGGCGCGGTTCCCACAGCCGCTGCTTGCTGCCCTTTGTGCAATAACCCGCTTTCCGTGCTGCTGCCGCCGCCGTGGGTGCCGCCCGCGGCGCTGCGGGTTCCTGTGCTGTGGTCCCCGGTTCTGCGTGGCTCCGGAGCTGCCTCCTCCTGCCCTTTTCCTGGGGGTCTTTCTCCTGCCCGTTCCCTGTACAATAAAAGCACCCTGGAGCACAGCCCTGAGTGTCGCCCTCTCCTTGCCGCGGCTCCTGCCCGAAGGGGGAGCCCCTCGGAGATGCTCCCCGGGCTGCGGGGCCGGACTACAACCCCCGGCGTGCAGCGGGCAGGGCGGAGCCGCCGCCGCGCTGCCGCCAGCGAGCCCGGCCGGGGCTGGCACCGGCACCGGCACCGGGGCCGAGCGGAGTGCCCGGTGAGTGGGGCGGGGGTGCGGGGCTGGGGGACACGCGGGGAGCACGGCCACCCCTTGGGGCAGCGCCGCGTCCCCCGGGGCGTCCCCTGCGAGCGGGGGGGGGTGGCCGTCACCGGCTCCGGGCCTTGCTTTTCGGGGCGGGGGGCGCCGCCGGGGCCCACGCGGGGCCGTGGGGCTGCCGAGTCACCCTCGGAGAAGCGCCTGCTCTCGGGGTCTGTGGTTGTCAGAGTATGGCGGCGTTGCCTGGGGGAGGGAAAGGGCCCTTCGGTATCGTCACCCGGCCCTGAGAGAAGCATCGACCCCCTGCGGCATCCTCGGCCGGGTGGGAGCTGCAGCCCACGCGGACCCACCGGCCTGTGCCTTCCCTGCTCCTGCCCACGGGGGAGAGGGCAGCCCTTCCTCGCCTTCCCCAGAAATCTCTGAAGAGGATTCATGGCCCAAGCACAGGGTTTAAATAGCCCAGAAGGAAAGGGTGGGCTGGGAAGATGAGTCTCTGTAGATGTCGTCTATGGAAAAAAAAATAAAAAAAAGGAAAAAAAAGAAGATATTTCCCTTGAAAAGAGATTTCCCGTGGCCGTGTAGGTCCCTGCAAAGCCCTGACAGGTTGTGAGGGTTGATTTCCTCCAGCTTGGAGGCACTGGAACGAGATCTGGGCTGTCCAACTCCAAAAAGCTGCGATGCTGGAAACACCAGATCTTCAGGTCCCAAAGCTTCTGAGACAGCGTGCTGGTGATCACCCTGGGCAGGCACTGGAAGGGGCCAGTCCTACTTTTCCTACTGGTGACGCGGTGTTCCTGCTGCACCTGTGGGTCATTCCTGTTGAGCTCAGCCTTGCCCTTTACCCGGGAGCACGTGCTCAGTGGCTCTTGCAGAGCTTGCAGGAATTGGGGTTGGAAATCAGGAAGCTGTGACGTTGGGTGGGTCTCGTGCCCACAGAAAGGCGAGTCCTGCTGTGAGGCTGCAGCTCCCCAGCCCCAGAGCTGGGGCTCAGTCCCCCATCTGGCAGCAGCAGTGTCCCCTCCCAGGAGCTGGGGGACGAGAGGTGAGTTCTGCTGCGTCTCTGCTGGCCTGAGGACACCTGTGTGCTGTGACCCCCCCTAACTGAGACCCAGGGAACTTGTTTCTCCTGTGCCTCCACCCAGGTGTCCCTTGTTAAGGTGATTTAATTAACACTTAACCGTGTCCTTCTTCATCCCCTTCTAGCAGCAGGGAAGTGCCTGACCCCTGAGTTGCTGCATCCCAGCCTGCCTGTTTGCTGCCCTCCCTGCCTGATGGAGCCAGTGCTGGCAGAGGACCCTCCTCGAGGTGACGGGCTGAGCCTGGTGCAGGACCACTAGTGGGACGTGGACAGAGGCACGTGGCACCCCGGGAAGGACGATGGCTCAGGGCACCGGGAGCATCAACAGCGACTACAAGGACTGGGAGTGGAGCGACGATGCCGGGGAACGGGCCAGGCTCCTGCAGAGCCCCAGCGTGGAGACGCTGCCCAAGAGCGCCGAGAGCCCCGGGAACGGGCCGGGGGCCACGTCGGCCCTGGGAGCCGTGTTCATCGTGGTCAATGCTGCCCTGGGCGCTGGGCTGCTCAACTTCCCCGCTGCCTTCAGCATGGCCGGCGGCGTGGCTGCCGGTGTCACCCTGCAGATGGTGAGGGCTGGGGAAGGGAAAGTCCCCTAAAGTCTCCTGTCTCGTCCTGGGAGGGACATGGGGATCCCCAGAAAGGGCTCAGGGAGGAGCAGGCTCCTGGGAGGAAGCTCTGTTGGGTGAGGCGCACCAGAGATGCTCGGTGTGTTCAGGGGTGACTGCCCAGGGTGGCTTTGGGGACGGTGTCATGTTGTTGGCTCAGTGTCCCCTCCCTGTCTCTTCCCCGCCCCAGTGCATGTTGATCTTCATCATCGGCGGTCTGGTCATCCTGGCGTACTGCTCTCAGGCCAGCAACGAGCGCACCTACCAGGAGGTTGTGTGGGCTGTCTGTGGGAAGGTGCCCGGTGTGCTGTGCGAGGTGGCCATCGCCGTCTACACCTTCGGCACCTGCATCGCCTTCCTCATCATCATCGGAGACCAGCAGGACAAGAGTGAGTGTGTCCCACAGAGCAACCAGGCGCTGTCCCTTCAGCTGGAAGGGACAACCTGACCGCCCTGGCTGTTCCCACAGTCATTGCTGCTCTGGTGAAGGAGCCCGAGGAAGCCGGGAGCGGCCACTGGTACACAGACCGCAAGTTCACCATCAGCATCACCGCCTTCCTCCTCATCCTGCCCCTCTCCATCCCCAAGGAGATCGGCTTCCAAAAATATGCCAGGTGGGTAGGGAGGGCCCTCCAGGGCTGGGATTCGGGGTAGGCCAGCCAGAACCCACACAGAGTGGGGAGGCAGAGCACCGATGGTCTCCTGTGCCCTCTCGCAGCTCCCTCAGCGTGATCGGCACCTGGTACGTCACGGCCGTCATTATCATCAAGTACATCTGGCCTGACAAGGAGCTGGTGCCTGTGGAGATCCCCACCAGGTGAGAGGCGGTGACACGATGCTGACGGTGCCATCTCAGCACTGCAGAGCCCTGCAGGGGTGCAGGAGCGAGGGCTGCAAAGGGTGGGGACAGATCTTTCATGAGGCTCACCCCTGGATCTGGGGCGAGTGCCAGGTCCCACTCACTCCATGCAGTGGCATCATCCTGGGTGGGGGGGATGCAATAACAGCAGACACTGAGCACTCCCAGCTCATCCTCCCCTGGGCACTGGGTGGGGGGTGCAGGGGGCCCTGGTCTGACTGGTGGGTGTTTCTCTCCCACCAGCCCCTCCACCTGGACAGCTGTCTTCAATGCCATGCCCACCATCTGCTTTGGGTTCCAGGTAAGGCCTGGCACTCCCCTTGCTTGGGTGGGGGACCAGCGTGATCCAGGGATGCTCCCCTGGGTGATTGGCTAAAACCCTCCCCCCGTGCTCGCTGCACAGCTTTGGGAGGGGGCTGAAGCCTTGTTAACATCTCACCACCTCTGGATGGAGGCGGATCCATTTTCCCCCAGCTGGGAAGGCCAGGGAAGCCTGTCCCCCCACTTTTTCTTGCCCAGTGACAAAGCTGGGGGGATCAGGATATCAGAACAAGCCTGGGATATCAGACATGGCTCAGCCCATTGTGTCCCTGCTCTCTGTTGTGTCTGGCAGTGCCACATGAGCAGCGTGCCCGTGTTTAACAGCATGAAGCAGCCGGAGGTGAAGACCTGGGGGGCAGTGGTGACAGTAGCCATGGTGATCGCTCTCTTTGTCTACACAGGCACTGGTGAGTGAGGGGACACCTTGTGGGTGTGGCACAGTCCTGGGATAAACTGTGAACTCCCCTCTGGTCAGCGAGGCACAGAGCAGGAAGGGAGGGGAGTCCATCTAACCCTCTCTGCAACGTGCCCTGCGCCATATCCATCCAAGTCTGGTCCTTCAAAAACACAAGTGCAGGAGACTTTTCCCTGTCCCCTGTTGACTGCTCCCTTCCTGGCAGGTGTCTGTGGCTTCCTAACCTTCGGAGCTGGGGTGGACCAGGACGTGTTGATGTCCTACCCCTCCAACGACATCCCTGTTGCCCTGGCCCGGGCCTTCATCATCCTCTGCGTGCTGACATCCTACCCCATCCTGCACTTCTGCGGCCGGTGAGCACTGGGAGAAGGCAGGGGCTGCTGTGGGCAGGAGGGGCAGCCCAGGGAAACCCCCCCCTGCCCTGGCTCTGTGCCCGCAGGGCTGTCTTGGAGGGGCTCTGGCTCCGCTACACCGGGGTGACCGTGGAAGAGGACGTGGTGCGGGAGCGGAGGAGGCGCCTGCTGCAGACCATCAGCTGGTTCCTGCTGACCCTCCTCCTGGCTCTCTTCATCCCCGACATCGGCAAAGTCATCTCCGTCATCGGGGGCTTGGCTGCCTGCTTCATCTTCGTCTTCCCAGGTGGGGCACCCCGGCCTGCTCAGGGGCTGCCAGAGGTGTCTTGGCCTTGTGTCTGGAGGAGGGAGGGAGCAGGATGGAGGCACAGGAATCAGGAGCTTTTTAGAGAAGGACAAAAATGTGGCGGGAGGTCGGTTGGCAGCTCAACTCTTTGGACTGGACTCTGCTCTGTAACTGGGAGTGTGGCTCCCTGGCTTGTGGGGTGTCTGCTCAGTCCCCAGGGGTCAGTCCTCATCTGGGTCTAATGTGCCTCCCCTGCCTTTCAGGGCTCTGTCTGATTCAAGCCAAGCTCTCCGAGATCCAAGAAACCAGGGCACTCAGGTAACTGAAATGTGCCTTCCCTCTCCCCTGTCCACCCTGTGGATATTGGGGTGAAGGTCCCCTCTAAAACGTGCCCTGTCCTCCTGCCTCCACAGCTGGTGGGCCCAGGTCAGCTACGGGGTGTTCATGGTCACCCTGGGAGCCTTCATCTTCGGACAGACCACTGCCAACGCCATCTTCCTGGACCTCACTGCCTGACTGCTGCAGGCTGCATTGCACTGCTGCTGCTCAGGGGACCCAGATTCCCCCTAGGACCAAAGGGAAGCGGGAAGAAAACGTGTTGGCATGTTGGGAAGATCCAAGAGGAGCGCTGTAACTCGGGGCTTGGCTGGACGAGCCCTGCGGTGGTTGGTATCTCATTGTCTTAAGGCACCAGGCAGTCAGGTTTTCTCTCAGCCCTGGCTCCCTGGTGAAGCCAGAGCAACACTACAAGGGCAGGGCAAGCCCTTTGTGCCCCTCAGGGTGGACATCACTCTGCCAGGCATCACTAAGGGGTGGTGGTCGGGGTTTGTGAAGCCGTGCTGCTCTCATCCATCTCCACCGCCCCCGTGCTGGTGGAGCTCCTCTCCACAGCTCAGACTCCTTCTTCTCCCAACTTCGGAGGGAGAAAGAGTGTTTTGCATAAAGGGAACTAGTAATCATGTTTACCAGACAGGGTGACAGCCCTGTAGTCATCTTCTGTGTCAGTGTTAGGTTTGAACTCTGCTTTCCTGTGGCTCAGCTCACTGGTCTCCTGCCCTCCCTCTGCCTTCCTGTTACAAAGGGGGACTGTTGGTCTCAGCCTGATTTTTTTTTTTTGGGGGAGGGAGGATCAGGATGACCCTGGGGTAGGGACACACCAGCACAGTGCTTTCCCTGCCAGAAGTTGATCACTCGGTAGAGAAGTTGCAGTGACTGCATCGAGCTACTGAAGACACTACACCACTCTTCTCTGAATTTCCTATCCTGTTCTTCCAGGGAACGGGACTGGGCCAGGTGGAGGTTTTAAGGGATGCTTTGGAGATAAAGCAGTCAGTATTAATCTGTTTTATATTGTCCCCTCGGTCATTTACACTCCCTGTGGCTGGTGTTGCTCTGGGCTGTCCCTCTGGATGATGGTTTCACTCCTGCTTTTGCTGGGTTAAGGAGCTCCCCCAGCTGCTCTCTCCCTCTGCAACCAGAGGCTGCAGGTGGGCTGACAGCACTTGGGTGCTTCCCACATGGAAACTTTTGGTTTTTCTCCTTGCCAACACTTGCTGCGTGTAAATGGGGATCTCCCCATCTCTGCTCGGGAGGGGACAGGGAGATCCAGAGGGAGGAGGAGGAAGAAAAACCCCAAGCACAGCAGGAATGTCTGAGGAAGGCTGTGAGGGCGGGGGTCCCTCCTGCCTCTCCCAGGGGATCTCCAGCCCCCTCAGCTTTTGACAAAGTGCCCTCCAAAGTGCACCCCACCGACACGGGGAGGGGTTTGGTACCTGCTGGGTCCTGTGGCCCTGGCTTTTCCAAAGGTGTGCTGGGCACGAGGAGGTCCCACGTCTTGGGCTGTCACCCGTGGCTGAGGGCAGGGCAGGTCCGGAGATGCCGGGGCCGTTCCCGTTTGCCTTACTGCTCCCCTGTTTACAAACACCGGCCTTTTAGCGCGTGTTTTATACACGCAGAAAGCGGAGGGGCTTGGGCTCAATAAAAGTGACGTTGTGGTGCATGAGCTGGGCCAGCACGAGGTGGTTTCTGTGGGAGAGGGACCCTCACCCCGGGAGTGTCCTCGCACCGAGGGCCAGGGAAGGCGCTGTGGGTACCCCGGGGCTGGCAGGCTGGTGAGGGGCGGCTGAGACGGGCGGGAAGGGGCTGAGGGGATTTTCCTCTCGGGGATGGAGCCAGGAGGGTGCAAACGAAAGGGAGGATTTCGGCAGAGGGGCCAAAGGAGCTCTGGAGCGCCCGAGGGCGCTGTGAGGGACCGGACACCGCCATGTCGCGCTGGGGGGGGAAAAGAGAAGCGGGCAGCGCTTGGGCCGTACCACAGCAGCATGGGGGGGGGGGGGGGGG